ATATATTTTCAAAATATTTTATAAATATATTATAAGGGGTTTGTCTAGGGTTAATAACCTATCAAAATACAAAGGCTAATGTTAGAATGGGTTGTGATGGGTGTATTTATCAAAAGGTCATTACTTTTTGTTTAAAATTATTTAGTATGTATCTTAATCATCAATGTTAAATTTGAAATTTTTACAAAAGTACAATGGTAATTTTAGAAGTTAGTATCATGGAACTTTATTTGTAGAGTACCCTTGTCATTTAGTAAAAATTTCAACTTAACCCCTTATGAAGATGGCAAAAGTACCCTTGTCTTTAATAATATTTACACAAACACTCTTACTTGATGAATAAGATATTGCAAAAAGTAATTTTTTTAAAAAAAAAACCTCCAAATAAGTCCACCTTTTACAACTCCTAACATTAATCTTTGTATTTTGAAGGGTTGTAAATCTATGTGTGTGTGTATGTATGTATGCATAAATATATGTGACTGCAGATATGTTCGCTCTTTGGTTCGGGTCAGGGTTGGGTTAACTTGGACCCGGATCCGACCCATGTCCAACTCGGGTCCAAGGTTTTGGACAGGGACCCGACCCACTGGGTCCAAAACTTGGATCTCGACTTGGACCCAGACGCCTCTAATGTAAACCAAGGAACAATCTAGTGACTGGCCTTTCTGATATAAACAATGTTCTGAGTCTTTTGATACTTCTTGAGTTTCAGTATATGGATATCTATCTTCATGATTCTCTAGTTTAGTGCATCATAAATTGTAACTTATCATATTTTTTATATTGTCTCAGTTATTTTTAAGGGAAAGTATATAAAGAGACCATTTACCTTTGGTACAAGGTGGTCACAATTAATCTTGACCATTGGATGTGAAATTGGGTGGCTGCAGTTATTTCATTGATCAAGCTCACAATTCAAAAGAAAATTTCTCGAATTTTGTGATACACCCAATCTATCGGATTTCACATCGGATGGTTGCAAGTAATTGTGACTTCCCTAGACCAAAGATAAATGGTTCCCTATTTTTAATGTAAAATCTAGTATTTATTAACCAATTGGTAGTATATTTGTTATAGCTCCTGTGAGAATTTCATTATTATGATGTTGAAGATCTGTCAATGTTGTTGATTCTATTAGTCTCATTTAGTGTCCTCCTTCTTTACCATTTGTATCTTTTGCTATCTAGTAATTAGAAAACCAGTGACTCGGGCTGAGACTCGTCCCGGTCACTTGGACCTGGTAGGATGCTGGGTCCAGGTAAAGAATACTGACGTTTGGCGAGTCTCTCTAAGTCATGGTCCCTCCTTTTTTTTTCAAGAGACTCGTCTGGGCCTGTTTGCTGACCTGGTTGCAAGACTGTGCTGAGTCAGAGCCCAATTCAGGGCTTTTAATCGCTGCAGCGATCAGTACACAGATGCATATCTGTGCATGTGTGCATGCTTGTGCGCTCTCATTGATCTCATTCAGAAGCATGACTAAACAAACATTCATGAAGTTTTCCTTTTCTGCATTTGCTTCATGACAGTTCCATGGGGGTCAAATTTCAAAAGGTTCTGAGCTACAAATAGAGCTCACGGAGTTTTCTTGGAGAAATGTTGAGGTACTATGCATTGTATACAGAAGCTCAAAACACTTACACAAGTTTTGAAGACATGTTAACTTGATACTAATCCTTGACTGCTGTTGATTTTCTGTTCCTTAGCTTAATGGAAGCCTGATTATTGTTGCTGAGAATGTTCTGGGATCAGTTCAGACCGATGAAAATGGCGACCCATTGATACATTATGGATATAGGTAAATCTCTAAGCATTGTTTATTACCGAAAAGGAAAATATGCCAACATTTTAAGAAGAATAACTAAAACTTGAGGGAAAGGGCCATTACCTTCCCTTAAAATTAAGCACAAGGGAAAGTATACTATAATCCAAGGGACTATGAAACCACAGTCATGTTTTGATCAAATGGTGGACAGTAATTGAGATGGATTGGAACTGATTTGACTAGGACATGCCCCTAATGGTGGGTCTGACTGACTCTGTCAACATCGATGTCCATCATTTGATTGGAATGAATGATTCCATGGGGCTGGTTTTCCCTAGTCAATTGGAACATGGTATGCTACTTGCTTGAGGGAAAACTGACTTGTCCATACCATTTGGAGCAGATGTGGAAGGTGCTTATTAGAGAATATAATGATAATCAACAAAGGAATTGATTGGAACTGTCCTGGGAATACTTATTGGAAGCATGAAGTTCAGCGATTTGAGTGCTTAAAGGTTGTACTGCATGGTAATGCAGAACTTGAGGCAAAGGATGTAACTATTGAGGTAAATTTTAGGCAAATATTTCATGCTTTTTGATTTTTAGTTTGTAGGCATGCAAGCCCACACACATTTCTATTTCGTTTTGGTATTCTTACTCCAGCCTTTGTTTTCAGGGTAATCACACTTTTGAAGTTCCCAATGGTTACAGGCTACAAATTACTGGTGGAAATGCAGGTTTCTACAGTAATCCTTTTTGTATATTTTTGTTGCTTTCACCTTTTTTTTTTCAAATTTCTCATGACCCTTCTAATGTACGTACAGGTCTATCATGCAAAATGATTCCCATTCAAACAGAAATGATGGACACTGGAAGTTGGTTCTGGAAATACGGTTTGAAGGATTCACATATTCACCTTGAAATGGTTCGGTTGTAACAAAGGCTGACCAAACCCCGACCTTGAAGGCTTGAGGAGTGTAAATAGAGAAGATTGTAGAGCATTTTCTTACATTGAAGACCATTTTCTCATGGCGACTCTGGCTGCCCCAACTCGAGAATAGTTGAACTCAAGTTCAACTCCTTGTATGTAATACCTCACAATTTAGTCTCTTAACTTGTATGTCCTTTTCCATTTTTGATATGTATTGATATTTATACACCCCATTAATGTATATCTGTATTTTATCATAAGCTGGTTAGTTGAATTATTTGCTGTAAACCAATGGAACTGTGAAAAATCTCATTCCACAGTGTATAAAATCACAGTTTTTAGATGTAACTCCATACTGCATTGGGAGGCTGCATCAAAGAGGTGCGCAAGGGGGGTCTGGTTAGATGTGTCTGCCTTGTGGCTCATATTGCCTGCATGCGTGTTGTTCATTATTAGAAAAACCGGGCGATCTAATCGCTAGCCGCCTGGTTAGATCGGAACCGGCTAGTTCCGGTTTTGGCCGGTTTTGGTGATCGACCGGTGTTTAAAAAAAAAATTCAACAAAATGTATATAAATTCCCAAAAATAAGAAATTTGGTTTGTAATGCATTTTTTTATATTCTTTACAATATGGTAGAGATTAAAATTTGTTTTTGTCATTAATACTCACTTTAATTTAAAAATTGATTCATTAAAATCTATTTTTTAATCAATTTTCAACTTTATTCGAATGTGTTTTGTGTTAATCATTCTTTATATGTTTTTCATATTTTAGTTTTTTTTTTTTTTGACCGCTTGGCACGTGCCCGGTTAGAGTGGTTGAATCGGCATGTTTACCAGTTAGGCCTGTTAAACTGTTTCCGAGCCCATATCCGGTTAACCATTCCAGTTTGATTTTGCAAACACGAGTAGAGCCTCTTGGAACTAAATTTTGTTGGTTTTAAAAACTTAAAAATTATGATAAAATTATATTTAAAATATCTATTTATTGCCAAGCCCGCATTTCTATAATACGAGGCTGGCTGCATGCTCACCGTGTCTTTTTTCAAAATTACTAAGTGTTTATAGATCTGTTTGATTTGTACCATCTCTTGAAATTTTCAATTTTATGACACAGGACGGATACAAATTTCAAACCAACATGGGGTTTCCAACATTAAACTTACATCTCCAGGCAAAAATTAGTACGTGTGCCTTAATTTTACAGTAGGGGAGGCAACCTTAAGTAAACCTCACCTTACGTGTGTATTGGACAGAGATTTCATGCAACGGTTGTATTGAAGTATAACGAAACATTATTAAAAAACTTAGTACAAACAAAAAATGGTATCATAGTATACAATCTCATTTTTAAATTTATATTATTTTCATTTTAGTGACCAATCAAATATTTTTATTTTTGTTTAAAATACACTTTAGAAAGTATTTTTCAGCTCATCCATTTTGATGAGATGTTTAGATCTAGGCCTTAGAAAGACTTTTCCCGTTCCAACTTTTTTAGATGGTTTTGTTATTATTAGATAAACAATGTTAAAAGAAAAGGTTGATTTTAAGTTCATAAAGGCCTAGATCTTGAAATTCACTAAATAGATGACCTAAATTCATTATTATAGGGGGACTTGTTTTGACCATATCTAGAATGCAAATTGAATTTTATTTTTTTGGGTCCTACAAATACCACAAACATGGTTTTCTAGAAGTGTAGTTTCATTACATTACATGGGTGTGGTGACATGAAATCAAATATATATATATATATATATGGGTGAAGTTTGCATAGAGCCGAGGCTCTAAACGATCAAATTAGAGCATACCTTTAAATATTGTCAAGGAATGTAGTTTCAACATTGGAAATCTTTGTGATAGTCTTAAAATATATTTCCATCTTTATTTATAAAGTTTAAAGCTTAAAATAGTGTAGATCGACAGATTTATGAAAACTTAAAAATCTTGAAATTAATGATCCAAAAATGCATTATTAAATACACTATTTCCAAAACTTGAAATCCATTTTTTTCTTTTGTCCATGCATCTTGATGTCGAGATGGTCAATTTGAGGATATTTGGGCATCAAAACAATCTCTTCTAGTGAAAATTTTAGGGTAGGCTCTAATTTGATTGTTTAGAGCCTCGGCTCTATATAAACTTTTCTATATATATATATATATAGAGAGAGAGAGAGAGAGAGAAGAGGGAGATATACTTTTTCTCTCCCATACTGTAGAAGTAAGGCGTGCCTCTCTATTTGTTTGGAGATGTAGTTCAGGTATTGGAACCATGATGTGTTGAAAGTCTATGTTTAACCATATTATGACATTAAAAATTTCAAAAATGGTACGGGTCAAGCAAATGTATAAACACTTGATAATCTTAAAAATAGATGGTCTATTTTTAATCTTTAAACACTTCAACGTATTACAAGATATACTATTTTTAGTTCTATTAGTTTAGAGCTAAGATAATGATCGGTTTCATATGTAAGCATATGTTAAAAACCGTATCTTTTGGGATCTATAAACACATTGTCAATACCTCGAGGTTGAATATATAGAGAAGTTTCCAAATGTTAAAGGGATATTTAACAAGGAAAAAGTTTATATAAGGATGCAACCTTATAATGTAAAACTACGGGTGAACTTCAAAAATCTATCGAAAAAGTTAGTTTTAGTATTGAAAAGCCATTTGATTGATTATCTCGACATCAAGATGTATGACCATGAAAAATAAAAAGATTTTAAGTCTCAGAAATAGTACATTTTACAACATATTATCTACACCATCCATTTTCAAAATATTCATATGTTTATAGATCTACTTGATTTTAACCATTTTTGAAATTTAAAATTTTATAATTAGATATAAAAATAGATTTTGAGATAATTCTAAGAACATTTTACATCAAAATTATATACCATGATAAACACCTTACCTCTACAGCTACGGATGCATCTGTATGCCAACTGCACCCATTTAACAAAGCTAAGACAATCATCATGTTTCATCTATAACTATATATCAGTTGTAAGCATGACACTCGGGGCTGTTCGGATACTTGAAAATGCATTTTTAGAAATGGTCAGACTACACATTTATAAAAAATTTCCTAAGTTTTATACAAATCTTCTTTTATAAAATGTAAAATGTATATTTATATGTGTTCTATTAAAAATTTCATTTTCTTTAAGATTTTATGAAAAACTCAAAGTTCTTAACAATTTAAAAAAATCAAATGTTTTTCAAATACTCCGAGACTTCTATGGCTGAGAATGAAAGCACGGCAAAAGTTCAAGTCTAATGAAATTTGATAGCTTGGGTTGTGACACAAAGTCTGAGAAAAATTCTTTTGAACTTTGCATCTAGTTAATAGAATAAACGCAGCCATCTAATTTAAAATCTAATTATCAAGATTAATTGTGATCACTTTGTATTAAGTGGTCTCATTGTATACTTTTCCTAAAGCCGTTTATTCAATTTCTTTTTTTTCCTCAGGCAAGTAAGATCTGAATTGTGGATTGTATTATAGGAAACTTCTTGTCTCTCCAGCCGTTGGATACCAACACGGAACAGCTGGGATGAGTTAAAATTTTGCAGGGAGCTGTCATGTTTTCATTGACTATGTTTTCTTATGGTTATGGTGCTTAGCACTCGCCTTGGAAAAGAACATATCCACCAGTGGTGCATGATAATTGGTAGGCTACGAAAGCATCTACCATTCATTCTCGGCGGGAGAGGGTTAACATTAACCTTATACTCGTAAAAGCCACCAGTAAGGATCACAATTAATTCTAGTCGTTCCTCATCAGCAGTGACGGTGGATCTCCCCTTGTGTATCATTGCCATGAGACATGGTGTATGTATTTTGTACTTTTACTTTCATTTAAGAGGTGTTTCGATTTTTGGAAATCAGGGATAGCCCATGAGATACCCATGGAAGTAGCAGTGTTCACTTTTTAGCATTAAATATAGGTCACGATTAGCTTGCAGCCAGCCCGCATAGCGTCGAAAATGCGGGCTTGGCAATAAATATATATTTTTAAAAATAATTTGATCTTAATTTTTAGAAAAAATATAATATTTAACATAAAATCATAAATATAAAAATAAATAAATTTTTAAAATAAAAAATAATAATTATATAAAAAAATATATTCGGACTGTTTATTACAATTAGTTTTAGATGGACCACTTATTTGCTTCCATCATAAAATGAATACTTTATACCTGTGGATCACATATTGTAGAAATGCGATCCAACCCGCATGAAACAATTCCTCTCAAATATAAGACAAGTGGATATGATATCCACTTTACTGTAAAATTTCTTTGGACTAGAGCCCGAACCACCTAACCCATGTAAAGCCAAAATAAGAGCACACATGATTATGAATTTGACTAATTCTCTCTCTTAGTTTTCCACGACAGAAATATTATTTAACAAAATTTTATTGTTAATAAACAGGTCGATGACACAATATTGATAAACTAAATCGAATCTGATTCAAACCTCTCGACAAATTGATATACTAATCAAATTATGTTTGCTCCTCTTTTTTGTCTATATTCCTTTTCTAACCCATCTTGGTTATTAAAGTTAATTTTGATTACAAGAATGAAATCCGGTTGCCCTTTCACTATGTCTCCTTGTAAACCCTTAATCCACGTCCAAGTCATCAACCATTTTGCTCTTTTTACATAAACATCTATCTCTTATCACTCCAAGAAAAAAAGAGAAGAAGACAATTGTCTTTTTTTTTTTTTGATAGGTGCACAAAACTTTATTGATCAGAAAAAAACATTATAAAAATACAATTATAAAGGCGAAATCAAAATTCGATCAGCATTAAAGAGTCCTCCTTATCATTTGCCTCCCTGAAAACATGGTGGAAAGTAACCACCTGGCTCCTTTATCTATTTAGAAAATATAATTGTCTGTCTTTCGACCCATAGGTGTGGGTGAAATGGGGCAGTAAAATAAGGTGTTTGAGGCTTATGCAAAAAATTAAACATGATTTTTTTAATTTTTAAATACAATAAAAGCATTATCTCAAGATAATATTTACCCTGAATATAAAGTTTATGTGGCCATATTTGTCTTCGGAATATCTGAAAATAGACGGTTGAGATTTTATCTGACCTATTGAGCTTACTAACACAGTGAGACCTTGACCTACCATTGTTGCCTGACTTAAGAATGGGTCAAACTGAGTCTACACACGAGAAACCTATTGTGCTTTCCCCTTCTTCCTATGAAAACAAGGAAAGTATTTCCGTATAAATACATTATTTTTCCCTTCTTGTTCTTCAAGCAAACACCCTATTCCATCCCACTCCAAAATAACATATTTTAAAAATACGATAAGTCATGTTACTTATACCTAGTATTTTTCAAATAGAGAAATATTAATATCTTTCTAATAAAAAAATGAAGAAACTTAAATAAGGTGGACACCTTGAATTATAGAATTAAAGTGCATCTAAAAAATCCATCAGAAAAAGCTAATTTGACATTGGAAATTATCTAATTGGGCATCCCGATGCCGAGATTATGATTATGAAAAGATGAAGATTTGAAGTCTTAAAAATAGTACATTTTACAACGCATTATCTAGACCGTCCATTTTCGAGATTTTCATGCATTTATATATTTGAATCATTTTTTAAGTTAATTCACACCTCTTTAACTTAGTTATGAACGACTTAACTAGACACCTACAAGATGCGGTACCCTAGTACATGTTGTTCATAGATGACATGATTTTAGTCGGACTAAGAGTAGAGAATGTGGAATGCAATGATAATAAGATTAGAGACGAGGAAGTAGTTGAGAATGACGGCTAGGAAATACAAAAAAGAAAACACTTGTGATATCTCGGGTCGATAATCGATGAAAATAGAGAGATTAAGGAAAATATCGTACATAGAATTACAGCCGGGTAGGCAAAGTTGAGATGTGGTAAAACGAAATTTTATATGATCACCGCATACCAATGAAGCTAAATGGCAAGTTTTATAGGATAGCTGTGAGTCCAGCTTTGTTCTATGGGGTAGAATGTTGAGTAGTTAAAAAATAATATACACATAGAATGACAATAGCATAGATGAGGCAATTGATATGGATGAATGACCAGACAAAAAAGGATAAAATTTGAAATGAATGCATTCAAGAAAATTTAAGTGTGGTACCAAAAAGTGATAAGATGAGAGAGAGTAGACTTAGATAGGGTGGCCATGTATGACTCAAACTGAATACAACATTTATTAGGAGGTATGAGTTAGTTCAAGTGGAAGGCTAAAAAAAAAGCAAAGGATAGATCCAAAAGCACATGGTTGGAAGTAGTGAGAAAATATATAGAGACTTATGACCTCACGTAGAGGACGACCCTTAATAGAGCAAAATAGCGAAGTAGAATTCGTGTAACCGATCCCAAATCATTAGAAAAATGCTTTGACGATAATAATAATGATGAATCATTTTTAAATTTTAAATTTTGTAATTAGAGATAAAAATATATTCTTCGCTATTAAAAAAAATTTTGAAACAAAAATTCGATCTTATAATAAAGTTTGGATTGAGTTTTACTTTAATTATTTAAAATTACAACCTTATGAAAACCGCACCATAAAATAAAACTCTTTTTTATGGTATAATCCCCGCTAATGTAGGACTTTATCAAAATCCCTACTCTCTCTCTCTCCACAGTGTAACAAGGCAGTGACTATGACCTAGTCATCACCCTCCTCTATGTTCCAATCCCCAAAACCTTCACGCAACTCATCTCTCTCTTCCTAGTCCAAGCGTTCAGAGGGGGGGCCGAGTCATAGGCACCAAGCAGCTCAAAAGAAACGCAACTAGCATTATATATTTAAGGAAAATTTATAGATACTCAAAATAACCTCCTACATATTTTATCCCCAGTATTTTTTCTCACACCTTAAATCCCGTCGTTGTTTTATTTTCATTTACCCTAGTTAAGAAATTAACAATTAAAGACAAAAATAACCGTATCCTTTCTCTTTTGACCACTTATGCCTCAATCTTCTGTTGCCCTTACCCTCTTTGTACACACAAATCTTACACACTTTGTGAACTCTCTCTCTCTCTATCTGCCATCTCTCTACCCGCCATCTTTCTTCTCTCTCTACCGGCCATTTTTTTTCTCTCCCTATGATCTCTTTTTTTCTCTCTCTTGTAAAGAAAATGTATTTTTGTATAATTAGACCTTAAGCCCCCATAAAAAGTGTATTATTGAGCTTAACAAAAATGTGAACAAAAGCTCTAATTTATAGGGTTACAAAATTTGTATTATTAAAAAAACTAACATACGTAACACTTTCTTAATATGGATAACATAAGAAGAAAGAAAATATTGCTTCTAAACATCAGTAGAAGTTTCTATATCTTCTCTCTTTCTTTCTCTCTCTCCTTTGCCAAATTTTTTTGGCCAGACCGCCCTAGAAGAACAGAAGCTCTTTTGGATCTATACATGGTTTGGCACACCAGAGGGTTAGAGGTTTCTCTAGATCAATACATGGTTTGAGACATTAGGTGCTGGAATGCCTTAGAGGGACAGAGGGAAGGTAGAGAGAGAGAGAGAGGGTAAAGAGAAAGGGATGGTAGAGTCGAAGAGAGAGATAATAGGTAGAAAAAAAGGGAAACAAAGAGGAGAGAGAGAGAGAATATTCAAAAGGGGAAGAGAGAGGGAAAAAAAACATTTTTGTGTCAAAATTAATACACCATCTTACTGGGATAATTACCAAAAAAAAAAAAGACAAAAAAGAAAAAAGAAAAGTGTTCAGTTTAAAGGTAGGAGGTTTGTATAAAGTTGAATTTTGAGGGTCTCTATCATTTTCCCCATATTTAACCTAAACCAGCGTGGTGACAACTCTCTCCACTCTTTAGACTTAGGCTTTTGGACCCACTCTCACAACCTTTTGCTCTCCCACTCCCCTGTGAGAGCGAAGATTGCGTCCTCCATATTCCTCCACATGGCACCTCCCCAATTGGTCTACGGAGAGGCACCTCCCCAATTCGTCTAGCGAGATAAAATAAGTAAAAGCGAAGCTTCATACAGAGAGAGAGAGAGAGAGAGAGAGCGGATTTAGCCATGTGAGAGAGAGAGAGAGAGAGGGTTTCTTTTTAGATGATTAGAGGAAATACATTTGCAGAGCTTCTAAATTGTGTCAGAGAGAGAGAAAGAGCAAATTGGGTTACAGAGGTTGTCAACTGAGTGTGAAAATCGATTAAAAAGCTCCTTTTAGATAGAGAAAGTGGGCAGCAATTAGGGTAGAGAGAGAATGTTGCAGCAGACTTGTGTTTCTGACTCATGGTTTAGTTAAGAGTTAGTAATCTGAATTGATGAACATGGAGAGAGAAACAATGGCCAAGGCCACCTCTAATTTCACAACCTTCTTCCCCTTGATCTCATCGCCATTAACTCTTGTTCAAGGCCTCCTGGAATCCACAAAAGAGCTCGCCTCCATGGACAAGCTCCATCACTTGCAGGTTCGGAACAGTTCGGCCATGATCAGAAAGGCCAAGCTCCTTCAACCCCTGTTTGAAGATCTCAAGGAAACCCCAGCCCCACTGCCCCCTTCTTCATTTCTATGTTTCAGAGAGCTAATCGACGCAATTCGAAAGGCGAAAAAACTCATTAATGAATGTAAATCAGGCAGCAGAGTATGGAATTTGATCCAGATAGAGCCGATATCTTCTCGCTTCCATGGCCTAACCAGAGACCTGGGCCGAGCCCTTGACATATTACCATTGAGCCTATTGCCCATCTCTTCTGATACTCGAGAGCAGGTCGAGCTTCTTCATCGCCATGCTAGACGAGCAGAGCTGTTCATCGACCCACAGAGCAGCTACCTAAGATTAGAGCTCTTGAAAGTTGCCAACAATTTTCACAGCAAGCTCAACCCCGATATTCAAAAAGTCGCAGAAATAATGGAGAAAATTGGAGCAAGTGGGCCTAGTGATTATGAATCTGAGATCCAAAGGCTTGAGGTCGAGATCAAGAACCAAGCTGGTACAGGAGGGCTCGTTGTAATCTCAAAACTCAACAATCTCATTTCTCTGATTAACCACTGTAAATTCGCGATATTCAGTACAATGACTGAAATTCACTTGAATTCCGGCAAGAAAGGAGAGACTCTCCAGCGAATTGAGTCATTTTCTGGTAGTTCTCTGGTGATCCCCGACGAATTCAAATGCCCCATCTCTCTCGATTTAATGCGAGACCCTGTGATTGTCGCTTCAGGCCACACGTATGATCGCCCGGCAATCGCAGAGTGGATAAATTTTGGGCACCCGACATGCCCAAAGAGTGGGCAGAAGCTCCTGCACATGGCATTGATCCCCAACTTCGCCTTAAGAAGTCTGATCCATCAATGGTGCAGTGATAACAATGTTTTTATCGATCAAAGAGAAGAGGAGAAGGACCTTCCGGCATCGGGGGATCATATAACGGCGACGAAGCGAGCCGCAGAGGCAGCGGAGATGGCGGCTGCATTCTTGGTCGGAAAATTGGCAACAGGCAAGGTTCAAAAAACTCTGTTATGACAGTTATTGGGGCCGTTATAGGTGACTCTTTATGATATGTAGCAGTACCAGGTGCTCCCAGAAAACAACTGTTATGAATCAATAACGGGGAGCTTTCTGGATTATGATTTCTGTTTTTTAAGTTGAAAAAACCGTCTATGTTAACAAAAGGCAGTTGAGGTGCAATGCAGCACAGTGTGTGTTGCATTACATGCTCCTTACAAAATAGCGCCTTTCATATCCAGTATAAAATCGTTACTTTAAAAAAGTAACATGATAAAACGCCCATAGAGTGAGTTCTGTTTGAAATATGAGAACGTTCATTGGAACTGTGATCTGCTATAACCGTTATTTGAATTTTGGTAACAGGGTCAACGGATACCCAGAGGCAGGCGGCGCTCGAGCTCCGGCTGCTTGCCAAGGCCGGCATGCACAACCGCCACGCCATTGCCGAGGCCGGCGCCATCCCCTTCCTAACCTCCCTCCTCAGCTCGCACGACAGTCGCACTCAGGAGCATGCAGTAACTGCACTCTTGAATTTGTCCATAAACAGTGTGAACCGGGACCTCATCGTTGATGCCGGCGGTGTGGGCCCCACCGTCGAGGTCTTGATGCATGGACTGTGCACTGAGGCCCGGGAGAATGCTGCTGCTGCCCTCTTCAGCCTCTCCGCATCGCCTGCAGGCCGTGCTGCAGTTGGGGCACATCCCAAAGCAGTCTCAGGTCTGGTGGCATTGCTGCAGGATGGCACGCCGGGCGGCAAGCGGGATGCTGCAACAGCCCTCCATAACCTTGCTGCCTGCGGCACGACACGGGCTCGCATTGTGAATGCTGGGGCTGTCGGCGTACTGACTTCGCTGCTCGTGGATGAGAGGGCAGGGGTAACAGATGAGGTGCTCGGTCTGTTATCGGTTTTGGTTTGGAGCGGAGAAGGTGCAAAAGAAGTGACAGAGGGGGGTATAGAGGCGGTGGTGGAGTTGGTGAGGGTGGGTTCGGAGAAGGGGAGGGAGTATGCAGTGGGAGTATTGGCGGGGTTGTGTAGGGTTGAGGATGGTGTTGGGGAAAGGGTGGGGAGGAGGTTGATGGAAGATGCAAGGAGCGTGCTGGCGTTGCAGAGGGTAGTGGTGGGGGGGACACCGCGGGCGAGGAGGAAGGCTGAGGCCGTAATGCGGTTCTTGGGACGGTATTGCTCGCAGTCGCATGGGAGGTGATATGGAGAATGAGGTCTTCTCCTTCTCTATCTCTCATGGTCTCTCCCCCTCCCATGGTTACGACCCTAAGCCTGCTCCCTTCTCTCTATTTCTTAGTCTCTCATTGCCTCTCTCTCTCCCCTGCTTCACCCTCTGAGTGAGTGTACATCCATTTTCTGTGTATTTTGAGTTCAAGGTTCATTCCCTCAAGAACCAACTGTATATTCCAGTCCACGGATTGCATGGTGTATTTTCGATTTAGTAGTGTTCTTCATTTTGTGTCCTCTCACTTGCCTCTCTTTCCTGTAATATCACTAGCACAAAAAACGTGTCATTGAAATATTGTATCTATGAGAAGATTTGCATAAAGGTTTTTTCATGTTTGTTGCAGAAAATGAGATAAATGCTGAAATATGATACCGGATTTGGGGGCCGTGTATGTCTCTCTCTAAGTGGATTTGTTGGGTAATTATGAGTTATGGATTTGTGGTGGGAGTTTCCTTATAACGCTCGGTGCCAAGTTTGTGGGTCGTTTTAAAATCGGTTATAAGGCTAGGGCACAATCTATTGGAATGATATGTACTTTTGAGTCTCTTTAAGATATTTTTTAATTCAAAAATTTTGTTTGAGAAAGTGCAAGAGTAACTACGCATTTTAAAAATAACCCAAATATAAGAGCTTATTCAAAACTTTGTTTGAGAAAGAGCAAGAGCAACTACACATTTTAAAAATTATCCAAGTATCATAGCACATATTATAAAAAAGATAGGCATTGGAGAGCATAGTTACCGGAAAGATAATCATTGGTGTGGAGATTTATTATTTGGAGAGGAGATTTTAAGATTAACATGTTAGAGAAAAAACTCATGAAAGATGTTAGAAATTTAATTTTTTATTTAATTTCCTGCATTATTTCATATAGCAAACAATAGTATTCCATCAAATATTTTTCAACCATCAATTCCAATTTTAAAAGCAAATTTTATGAGCAATGGAGTATTAATTAAAAACATTATTTGAGTTTCAAGATTTATGGGATGTGGTTGAGAATAATTGTGCAGAGCATCCAGGTGAAGAGGCTAGACTTACTGCAACCCAAAGGCCAGAGATAAGAGAAAATAAAAAGAAGGATTTGAAGATATTATTTTTACATACAGTAAACAAATTACGTGTCAATTGTTTTGAGGATTGCTTTTGCAACATCGTTGAATGAGGCTTGGAGTATTTTACTAAGGGAGTATCAAGAAACACACAAGGTATACATTGTAAAACTCCAATCACTTGGACGAGAATTTGAAACTTTGCTTACAAAAAATAATGAGACAATTCAAGATTTTCTTGCTAGGGTGACCAAAATAGTGAATCAAATGATGGAGAAGATATTTTTCATAAAAAGGTAGTTGAAAATGTTTTGATAAGTTTACTTCCTAAATTTGATCATGCAATCGCTGCAATAGAAGAATTTAAAGTCTTTGATATTTTTTCAACTAATAAACTAATGTTTTTTTGCAAGCACATGAAAAAAAGATTAACATGTAAATGGACAAAAATGAGGAGCAGACATTTCAATCTAAGGTGGAGTCGTCTTCAGAAAATTATAACGATTTTGAAAGATATGTAGATAGAGGATGTGAGAGAGGTGGATATAATGGTAGAGGTAGAGGTAGAGGCAGAGGAAGATCTGGTTACACAAATGACCAAAATTTTTCACCGAGTGAGGAAAAAGGAAACAAAAATCAAAGGCATTTCAAATGTTTCAAAGTTTCAAAGCATTAGTTGAAAAACAAGGTAGTTTTTCCAATAGTCTTGTATTTCCTCTCCGCCACACCATTTTGCTCTGGTGTATAATTAGCGGTGAGTTGTTTGTAAATACTACTTTTCTTTACAAAATGAGTCAAATTCATTTGAAACAAATTCACTACCTCTATCGGTAGGCAAAGTCTTTATGGAAAAACTGCTTTATTTTCAACTAATGCTTTGAATCTTTGAAACATTTGAAAGGGTGTGGTTTGTATAGAGCCAAGGCTTCAAACAATCAAAGTAAAGTGCATCGTCAAATAGTGTCGAGAAATGTGATTTAAATACAAGAAATCTTTGTGATAACCTTAAAATATATTTTCATCTTTAATTATAAACTTTAAAGCACAAAAAATAGTGTAGCTCGAAACAGATCTATGAAAACTTGAAAGTCCTTGAAAATTGATAGTCCAAAAATACGTTATAAGATGCACAATTTCCAAAACTTGAAATCCATTTTTTTCTCATATGATGTCAAGATGATCAATTTGAGGATTTTGAGAATCAAGACAACATCTTCTAGTGAAATTTTTGAGTTGGGGTCTAATTTGATTGTTTATAGCCTCGGCTCTATATAAGTTTTTTCCGTTGTTGAAATGGCAAGGAGTTTGTTAAAAGCAAAAAATCTTCTAAATGATTATAATTAAAATATAATGCATTCAAATAAATATTCATGAGCTTCTGTTTCATTTCACAAGATTTTTTAACGACCGGTTGTCAAGCCTTTCAGGAATATGTTTGACGAAACTTGATATGAGGGTCTATGAGTATTATTTCAACTGCCCATGAAGTTTGTTTTTTTTTTTTTGACAAGAGCAACAAATTTTATTAATAAGAAGAGAGATTACAAAGATAACTACAATAGAAAAAAAGATACAGATAAAAAAAAAGAAATACAAAAATAACTACAACAAAAAAAGAGATATAGTTAAAGAAGACAAAGAAATGGCAAAACGCCCATCTTAGCCAAATACTATGCGATTGAATTAGCTACTCTATAAACATGCGTGAAGGTAAAACCTCTGCCGACCGATAAATCCATCACTTTATTTATGCCATAAAGAGTAGTTGCTAAGGAGGTCTTGACAATCCAGTACAGTTGATGACATTGTGAGAATCACTTTCAATGCAGTACATAAGTTGATGACATTGTGAGAATCACCTTCAATGCCCACATTGTTATGGAAGCCCTCATCTTTAAGAATCAACATACCTTGCAATAAAGATGCTAACGGTCTTACAAATAAGAAAATGACATGACTTGTACTATCTCGACAAACACCTCTGACGCCTAATCCCCTTGGATTCTCAAAAGAAGAACCGTCAAAATTTAACTTCATAAATCCCATATGTGGCGGTTTCCATCGACATTGCAGTCTCATCTTGATTGGTCTCTGCATGATTAATTTATTCAAGTTATCCTCAATATCATGTCTAGAAGTATTCTTTTAATCCTTTGTAATATTAAACCAACTCCAACTACAAAACATAATTTTATTCCTTTGATCCTCCATACTTATCCCAACCCCATCGAATGTTCTTATATTCCTTTCAAGCCATAATTCCCATACCAGTGTATTTAATTTCAGGCTGCTCATTCAAACTCTGATAGAATGTGGCATAGGTAAAAGAAGTCAAACTTTTTACAATGCCCAATACCATAACTGATAAGTATATGGGCAATGTAAAAATAAATAATCAACAGTATCATCATCTTGTTTGCAAGAAAGGCAAACATTAACAAGAATCTTTCCCTTTTTTTTAAAAAAAATTATCAACCGTTAAATTTTTTTTTTTTTGAGATAAAACCTAGATAAACACTTGCACGTTATGAATTTTCCATTTCCAGATATCCTTTAAATTGGATTGGTTCCGTCTAATGCGATCATGAAATAGAAGATGATATGCGGGTTTAACATAATAAATGTCGTTTTTTTCTAACTCCCATACGCCATCATCATTAGCATAAGTTGAAAGACGATAATTCTCCATCGTTTTGAATAAATCCATATATTGTTCAACTACATACAATTTGAGGTATACGCTGATATATACAATTAATGTTGCAAACCACAGAAGACCCATTAACAACGCGCACCTCATTCATTTTTGCCATTGGATTTGCATATCTACAAAAAGATTTTGGATAAAGCCATTTAAAAGATAAATCTGAAGTCCACTTAGATTGTCAAAATACTGCTCTATCCCCTTTGCCAACTGCCCATCTTGAGTTACCCAAAAAGAAACGCCGCATTGATGACATACCCTTCTGAACAAAAGAGCGATGCCACTATTTCCTTGCGCCACAATCGAGTTAAACTCATCCAGCCCATATTTAGACTCAAGAACCTCCTTCCAAAGTCCGTTATCAGATTCCAGTGCACGAAACCACTTTTTTGCTAATAATGCTCGGTTAACGTATCTCAATTTCCTTATACCAAGTCTTCCTTCATTTTTGGTGCGCAAACTTTTGACCCAACTACCTAAATGATACTTTTAAGCATCCTTGTCTATACCCCATAGGATATTTCTCATTAGCTGCTCCACTTGTTTGATGACAACACCAGGCATATTCAATAAAGAATTTGATAATAGGCAAATTAGATAGAGATGACTTAATTAAAGTAACTCTACCACCAAGGGATAGGTGTTTTGATTTCTAGATATCTAATTTTTTATTAGTCATTTTTACCACTGGGTCCCAAACTGATATTCGCTATCTATGATTTGAAAGAGGCATACCTAGATAAGTAATGGGAAAAGTCTATGTTTTACATTCCATATTTTGTGCCAGATACCAATCAGTCCCTTCTTGACATTCCACACCAATGATTGAAGTATTTGAAAAATTAACTTTGAGACCGAGTGCAAACTCACAACACCTGAGAAACATTTAATTATTATTAATCTCCTCCATGTTTGGCCTATAGAATAATAAGGTATCATCTGCATATTGAAGATGAGAGATAACTGGCCCCTCATTTGATACCCGAAATATAGAAAAATACTCCTGTAGAGTCAGATTATTTACCATCAAACTAAAAGCCTCTTCTACCCAAGCATATAAGAAAAAGGATAGGGGATCGCTTTGTCTAAATCCTTCGATAGCTTTGGAAAAGCTTTTTGAGCTACCATTAACAAAGATAGAAAAAATGAACAGTTGAAAGACACCTTGATATCCATTTTCTCCAATTTTGACCAAAACCCATACGCAACTAAGTCTC